ATTGTCGCAAAAGATGTTTTTGAGAGACCTGTGATGGATCTATCCTGGTCAGTGACCATGATCGCATTTCGATCCAAGCTCTCATATGGCTTATGTAGGTCTCTGGATGGCTTGACACTATATGCTTGCTCGTCGGATGGGACAATTTGTATTTTCGATTTTGATGAATCAGAGCTAGAAGGGATTGCACCGCTCTCTGTTCAAGCTGAATATTTAAAGCTTTTCAATTTTGTTCCTCCCCCAATAGCTCGAGCGTATGTGCCACAACCTCGAACTGCGGACTACGATGTCCCCAGTGTCCAAGCACGCACGCCATTTCCACCTGTTCCCACCGTTCCTACTCCCTTCTCAAGTCAGCCGTCATCCCAAGTGCAAAATGCGAGCGGGAGAAAGAAGAGGAGGATTAAACCCGTGTTCGTCTCTCACTTGTCCTCGGCTCCGGGAATCAATGGCGTGCCAACCGCGTCGAGCCAACCCTCAGTTAACGGAGTCGTTGTCCAACCGTTTCACTCGTCCCCCGCGCCGCAACCGTTTGGGATGCCACACCGCTCGGGTACCAATTCGAATTCACTGGACATGATCACACCCACGATTCCGAATAGCTATGGCACATCGATACACAACGATTATGCCGGCGAATACACCGATCGGTTCGCAATTCCCTCTCCATATCCAGGGGAACCACCGTTATATTTACCTTTGACCCCTTCAAGATTCATTGAAACTAATACTCCTCAGGGTGATACGGACAAAGCAGAGATGTGGGATAGTCTTCCAGAAAATGGCACCTCGAATGCCAATGGTATCAATCGTGTCGCCAAAGCGCGGACGCTTGGTGGGGATCGAAGACAGGAGAGCGTGAGTGTCATCAAAGAGATCAGACCGGCAGCCGGTGTTCCTATGGATATCGATTTGTATCCTGGACCCAGTTCCAACCGTACAAGGCTGAGTCCTCCCGCGATCCGTAACTCGGTTTCTGTGCGAGTGGAAGATAAGGAAGGTGATATTTTTGAGGGAAAGAATGCCGAAGATGGTCTAGGTATGTCATGATTCCTTAGAGCCGCCTTCATACTGTGCCCAACATACTATTTCCTCAGCTCCATCTGAAGTGACACTCGTATCTGGCAAGCAGACCCAGTTTTTGGATTATGTATCCCCTTGTGTCCTGGTGGTGTGCGCCACAAGTGTATTTTGTGCTGCTGCTCTCGAAGACGGCTCCGTTAACGTATATTCTCCGACTGGTCGAAGGCATGTTACTCTTTCTTAAATCAACATAACCATGCTCATTTTCCCATCAGATTGATGCCCGCAATGTTACTAGATAGTCCTTGCGTCGTACTGGAAGGGTGTAAGCCATATCTTATGGCGATCACAGCCACAGCAAAACTTTATGTTTGGTGCGAGTCTTCTGCTTCCCCTTCGACAATATCTCATGAATACAATCCCCAGGAATATCAAGTTACAACGCTCGCATATCTCTCCCGTTTCCATCCAGCCGCTATTTTCTCTTCCATCTTCTACAATATTATCCGCAACTTTAAGGCCTGGCGGGTCCCCAGTCCTTCTGTTGTCCAGTGGCATTGCGTTCTCTTATGATCCGGCTTTAAGTACCTGGCTCAAAGTTAGCGAGGTTAGGTGGAGCCAGGGAAGCGATGCCTGGGAAGGGAAGCAGCGAGCTACTGCTGTTCGGGGCATCAACAATTCTAAAGGTATCATATCTTCGCTCGAAAGCTCGATAAGTGATTTGGAGATTTCCGATGGGGCGCCCGGAATGCCGTTGAAGAACCCGAGCGATGCCCCTGCGTGGTGGAATGCCGCACTCACCCTCGGTCATTTAGAGACCAGGATTCACTCGGCGAAACTTCTTGATAGTCCTTCCGAGTATAGGAACAGTCTGATAATTTATGCCAAGCGGATAGCAGAAGAAGGATTCCGAGGGAAGGCAGAGGAACTCCTGAAAGAACTTTGCGGGCCAATATACTGGTATGCTCATGTTGTGCATCTTTGATCTTGTGCTGATGGCTTGCCACTCCTAAAGGAAACCTACTCGCGAGGAGCCATGGGTGTCTACTGTCTTAGGGATCCCGAAGCGTGAGCTTTTGAAGGACATTATGGGTATATTTGGTGAGCAGTGGTGCGTCAATGCGCCAATGAGCCTGGCTAATCAGAAACCTCTAGCACGGAGTAAAACCTTGGCCAAACTTGGGCAGGATTGGCAAGAAATGATGAAAAAGGCCCAGGCAGAGTAATATTAATGTTCTAATAATTTCCTACCTCTGTACGGTAATACTTTATGTTACTGTTGTTTCCGCTCGGTTTCAACGCGCTTGCGGCTACCTCCGAATCGTGGTCCTTCGGAACTGCATTCACATTTGGAGACACTCCCTAGCCAACCTGTATTTCTTCTCCGGCGTGTGCATACACGGCCGCATCTATACCCTTCGCTATGTTTGGTCAGCCTTTACCATCGTCCAATGCCTTCACTCCCTCTCTCCCTATGGAACTCACATTTCACATCATCTCATTCATGGATATCAGTAGCCTCTTGGCTACATGTTGCACTAATCAGGCCATGTCTCTGGAGACCGAGCGTTACCTGTATCGCGACGTGATACTTTACAATACGTCGCAGATCACACGATTTCACGATGCCCTTGCTAAGGACAACACTAGAGCTGCAATCGTCCGGAAATGTACCTTTACCGATTTCGATCCTCACCATCGCACTCTTGTCCATAATGTCCTCAAGTCTCTCTTTAATTTAAGTTCCCTGTCGATCGTTCCTTCTTTCGATAGAATATACGATCACAGTTGGGATGCGCTCTTCGTCGGCTGCGAATTCAAATTGGTCGAGTTCACCACCTCATTCGACTGTGACCATGGGCTGGTTGACTTCCTAATCAAACAACACCACATCGAGCGTTACACTCATTCGGGTTATACTCCTACGCACACCGCAGGGCAGCTTGGTCGACCTGTTGTCCTTCCTCTTCTAAAACGTTTTCATGGCAATACTGTGGACCTTAATATTATCATCCCCTCACGTCCCGTAACTCATGTTATTGTCGAAGAGACGGTAGCTGCTATCGGTCTAGGTATGTATACCTCGCTGTACGAGTTCTGTGTCCTGGTTGACCTCGGCTCTCCCGTAAAGAGCACTTCATTCTTCGGCCTCTAGCGGCTTCGCGTGGACCTGTGGAATACCTCTCTTTGAGTCTCTGTGACCCCGTGACTTCGGACACCCTTTCTCTCATCCAAGCATACACGCCTCATCTACAGACTCTCGAATTGTCCTCGCCTCGCGAGAATATTCAAGTGATCGCAGAGCGGACGTGGGGCCTAGGTCTTGCGGGATTCAAATGGCTCGAGCGTCTAACTGCGGAGACTTCGCTTAGTTCGGAAGGCCTTTCGTGGGCTGTTCCCCTGTGCGAACAGAAGGCCCTTGTACATCTTTGGCATCAATCCTGCGCATCCCTTCGTACCATCTGCTTCCAGACCGAAAAACTCGTAATCGGAGATCAGCCTGTGGATGAGTGGACATTACTTCATGGAAAGTGGTGTTACTCTCAGCAGCGTCTCCCGATCTTCCAAACGTTTTGGTGAACCAGCCCTTTGACAGATATTCGTATGATAGGGGCGGTCAAACCGTCGACGCTATGGGATCTCCATACTTAGAGTTCTAGGTTTTCTCCTCATCATCCCCCTCTTGACACATAGTCGCTTTCTTCACCACTCGTCCTTTGTCGCACCGCTGACGTCGATATGGATCTTGGTTGTTTCAATTCTTGTGAAATATCCTCAACCTCTTTGTACGTACTAGCACATGTATTCCCTCGGAATTGACGAACATGACATCTGTAGACCTTTCATTAGATATTCACAGACAAACTCTCACGCACATACTGGGGGCCATTTCCCCTACAAACACCGTGCAATTACTACAGTTCCTGCGGAGCCCGATGCTCAAGAGCCGACTAGAAGAAGGCTCCAGCTCCAGTCGTTTTTGACCTTCGGGACTTTCCAAACGACCCCTTTCTACGGATCGAAAACCTTATTAGCTATGTGCTCTCCGTAATCCCATGTTGACTCTCCGGCCCCCTTCATGTGCTTGGGGCCACCTTGCAAGGAGTGATATCAGAAGAGTTCGTCGAGTGGTCGCAGCCCCCGGTGTGAGATGTGATCGAGTTGCAGAGGCCGGCCGTGTACATCACCGAGACCACTGATGAATGCAGTGATTTTGTAATCGTCCTTCGCCATCGTGAAGGACATGGGAAGCTGGATCCCTGATGGCAGAATGTCAATAAGAGTCATGGCGGGGTCGACACCAAGCTCAGATTTATCCTCCCAGGCACTGGGGATATCACGTCGCATTAAAATGACATTTTGCATAGATTCAATCTTTGGAGGGGTCAAGCTCTTGAAATGGAGGCTGGAACCACGATGAGCGAAGGGCATCACGACATCGTACTAGAAGCTGAAAATAACAAATACATACGAAAACCTTGGAAAAGAGTAGGACTGTTAAGCGACCCAGAATATCATCGAAATCGGGGAACGGCATTACGTGTGGGAAGTACATCGAAACAAATAGCATGTGTCTGCATTCATAGGGGCGGTAACCAGCACCTGATATCATTGGTTGCTTGGCGCAGTTGGTAGCGCGCCTGTCTAACACACAGAAGGTCGCAGGTTCGAACCCTGCAGCAATCATTTTAACTTCGATACGGCCAAACCCTCCCAAAATGGTGTGTTTCTGAGCCAACAGGCTCTGGTGGGACAAAATCAGACTTGAACCATTGTGTCTCGTTAACATTGAAGGTTTCTCTGGCGTCTTGTCATGATCTTTTAATCTGCTGGATCCGGCAAAAAGGTCGCTTATCGCTTAAGAGTTTTCCCGACAACTTTGTCCCCTTTTGCCTAATAAATGTCAACACATGTGGCGCTTTTCGAAAAGAGGTGCCCGATTTGAAAAGGGCACATGAGCACAGTGGCCTCAGGTCGGTTGCTTGGCGCAGTCGGTAGCGCGCCTGTCTAACACACAGAAGGTCGCAAGTTCGAATCTTGCAGCAATCATTTTTATTACGAGCCCAGCCCCGGTCAAAGTCGCCGATTCCTGACTGATGGAGATGGGGAGGTAGGGCCTGAAACCACCCTTCGTCTTGTATTGTCTAACTCGTGCATCACATTCCTCCTGTTATCATGTGCCTAACATGATAGAGACAGGAAAAATGATTGCGGATAGACAGTAATATCTAACGCTTATGAGTTTAGATCCCCACACGCCTCAATTATAATGTTGGCTTTGGGCGCCCCTGAAGCTGATCCGAGACTTTCAATCCTGCGGACAATTTCCATTCCCTTATCCACTTCCCCAAAGACGGTGTGCCTATAGACGAACAACCATTAAACCTCGTCAACAAATAGGTTCAAAGTGCTTACCTTCCGTCTAACCATGGTGTTGGCACAGTGGTAATAAAGAACTGGGCCGTGATGAGAACAAACGTTGAGTCACAGCTGCGCCTGCGTGGCAGAAGAGACTCACCTGGGAGCCGTTTGTGCTGGATGTAAAAACACGAAGATCAGTGAAGGGCTACTTCTTTAACCAATTATGCTTCACTTTGGACCGGCGTTGGCCATGGATAGAAGGCCGGCTTTGGTATGCTTCAACGTGAAATTTTCGTCTGGAAACAAATATGGATTTGGCATTAAAGACTTAAAGTGGAATTCGACGGACCGTCAAATCGTTCTCCAAATATTGACTTTCCACCAGTGCCATTGTGCCTGGAAAATCAAGCTATGATTAGTTTAAAAGTGGGGCCCATCCCAAGCTCGATGTTCACCGAGTGAAATCCCCGCCTTGGAGCATGACTAACGAAAGGAAAGAAAGAACGTAAATAGAGGGACCATAGAAAGGGTTTGTTTTACGCGCATTTAGGGATAATTCGGTGAAATCCAGAACCAGCGTAGCCAAACCCGTGAATCCCAGTCGCCAGCTCTCGAAAGTTTTGGCAAGTTGTTGGAGTAATATGGTCATGGAGCCTGAATATGAGTTTTCCAGCAGGTTCTCCATTTATGTGAATGTCCATCTAACAACACTAAACGTTAGAGATAATGAAGTAAGACATGAGAAACTGGAGCGCACAAAAACTTTTCTAGAGAGATATTCAACAAGAGATCGTCTCTAAGACTCATCACCAACAAGGATATCACGTCGCACCTACCCTAGACGAGGAAGGGCCATGGATGCGTCTGCAAAATCTTTCGGATTTAGCCACTGTGACGTGACTCATCACGACCAGATACTCGCCTGAAACATTTTATGAGCGCAATTACTATCCTCAAGCGCCCCCTGGACGAAGGCGTCCAAGTACAGCGAAAGTTCTTCAGGAAGACAGCCAAAGGGAAGGTTGTGAAAGGTACGCTAGGAAACTTGAATATTGTCTGCGACTTGACAATTCCTATTTACTTTAGTCCTTAGAGAGCGATACCTACGAGACGACATTGCGTGTGGGATCCAGGGCATATGCACTAGCGCCAATCCTTCCCTTCCCTCTCGGGGAGATCTGACGCATCCATCATTTCCCGACGGCCATTTTATTCTCCCAGATACCAATGTGTTTCTTCACCAGGTATTTTCGTGTTCATAAATTTTGCATGAGGCAACTTTATAACAAGCTTTCCCATAAGATGGACTTAATGGAATCAGAACCCTTTAATGCCCCCATAATTCTCCTTCAGACTGTGATGGAGGAAGTTCGACATCGCTCATTGCCACTGTTCAATCGCCTTAAATCCCTGACAAAGATCGACGGAAAGACCATGTGGATTTTCTACAACGAATTCAATGCGTGAGTTTCCAAGATCTCTATCGAATATTAAGACCTCATTGCCCACATTTCGGTCGCTACAAGTGAGACGGCTGTAGTGCGACAAGGAGACGAGACACCCAATGACCGAAATGACCGAGGTTAGACAGCATGCTTGGGCGGTTGTTTCTGGGCCTCACCAATTGTTAGGTATACGGAACGCAACAGCTTGGTATAACACGTACATCAAGAACCATCTTCGTGTGAAACAGGGGCAGTCTTTCCCAACAGTCATCCTGATCACAGATGATGTAGAGAACCGCCGACGTGCGGAAATGGAGCGCATCAGTTGTTTGTCTGGTAGGTTATGGTTATGGAACGCACGATGCAGGACCAGAACTGACGACATATGGTTAGTGCGGCAATATGTCGCTGGTATGAAGAGTGCCGATTCTCTTTTGGACATAATTGCTGCGCACGGCGAAGACCAAATAGAGAGCACCGCTGCGTCCGGAAGGCGCCCTGCGTTGTATCCTGACGTGTGTAGATCGATTACAACAACCCGTTTATTCCCTTTCCTGATTTGTTGGAGAGTAGTATCTCCCCAGAGGAACCCTCTTAGCCGGAGTCAAGAATGGGACCTTTTATCAAGGTTTCTTTGCTGCAAATCCTTACAACTACCTCGAAGTACGATACTCCCATGTAATTGTCTTGGTGATGCTAAGTATTTCTATCTGCAGGGCACTGTAAACGTTCCTACTTTCGCGAAACCCGTTCTCTTGGTCGGAAGAGAAAACATGAATCGATCGGTCGAAGGAGACATAGTAGCTGTTGAAGTATTTCCTGAGGCGGAATGGAAAGCCCCCGGCGATGAAGTCGTTGATCAAGAAGGTACCTTCTGCGCCCTCTGATTGTCGTTCTCAATTCATGTGCACCCGGTTGCAGCGGCTCTGAAGAATGACGATGCAGACGATTCAGAGGCAGAGCACGAAACCGGCGAGACAGCGGCACGTCTCGAGGAGCGGAAATTGCTTCAAAGGGAAGTCCGTGAACGTGCATTGGCTGAAAGGGCGAAGGAGAAGCAACCCACTGGTAAAGTGGTTGGTGTTATTAAGCGAAACTGGAGGACGTACGTCGCCCTACTCTTCCGCTCGTCTAGGTCCTTACTATTCCTTGTCGACTCAAAGGTACGTGTGCCACATTGATCGGGCGTCCCTTACTACGGACGTACGAACATCAACAGCTCAACAGTCGGTATTCGCCACTCCCGTAGAACGGCGCTTACCTCGTATTCGCATACGGACACGCCAGGCACCCTCCCTTGTTGACCAAAAGATTCTTGTCACTATCGACCGATGGGATACGAATAGTAGATACCCCGAAGGCCATTTTGTCCGAGCACTTGGCAGAGTGGAAAGCAAAGAAGCTGAGACGGAGAGTTTGCTCCTCGAGTTTGATGTTCCCTACAGACCGTTTGGGCGCGCGATTCTGGATTGTTTGCCTTCTGAAGGGGAACAATGGATTGTTCCTCCGAAGTCTGACGATGATCCAGTGTGGCGCGGTCGTGCGGATCTCCGTGGTTTGGACATATGCAGTATTGATCCGCCGGGTCTGTCGTTCCCCTTGTGCCTGTGTCGCGTCATCCGGCTCATTTCTTCTCAGGCTGTCAAGACATTGATGATGCTCTGCATGCGCGCTTGCTGCCCAATGGCAATATCGAAGCCGGCGTTCGTGCGTAGATCGTTATCATATCCCACGGTGCATCCTGGGGCTGATCGCTCTTATTGAATCAGACATTGCGGACGTCTCACACTTCGTTCCACCTGACACTCCAATGGACACTGAGGCCGCTGCACGAGGGACGACGGTATATTTGGTTGATAAACGCATCGATATGTTGCCATCCTTACTGGGGACTAACTTGTGTTCCCTGCGACCCCATGTCGAGCGGCTGGCATTTTCAGCAATATGGGTTTGTTATTCTGTCATGCTGATGGATATCCGCTGATATCCAATTCTGTGACAGGAACTTACGCCTGACGCTGAAATCGTGGATGTTCGTTTCACCAAATCTGTAATAGCATCCAAGTCCGCTTTTACATACGAAGAAGCTCAGATTCGAAAAGATGATCTGTCGGTTTTATTCCTCTCGTCCTTCGAGAAAAATATTAATCGGCGGTTTCTTCAGGAGCCTTACTGATGATCTCACCAACGCCATTCGTCTGTTGAATATCCTGGCCATCAAGCTGAAGGCCGCTCGCATGAAGGCCGGAGCATTGAACTTGGCCTCTCCCGAAGTCAAGATTCACTTGGACAGCCCAGAGTCCTCTGACCCTATCGATGTCGAACAAAAGGAGCAGCATGAAACGAATAGTCTCGTCGAAGAATTCATGCTACTCGCCAACATATCTGTTGCGCGTAAGATTCAAGAAACATTCCCATTGACAGCTGTACTACGGTAATATATTCTGTAATCTGTTTTAGAGTCTTCGCCCATTGAAGTATCACGTCCTAGACGTCATATGGCCCCTCCACCCACAAACTTCGAGAAGTTGCAAGACCTGTTGCTCAAACTTAAAGGATTCCACATTGACGCGTCAAGCTCTGGAGCGCTAGCCAAATCTTTGGACGCATGTGTGGATCCTGATGAACCTGCGTTCAACACTTTGGTTCGAATCATGGCGACTCGTTGCATGCTCTCTGCGGAGTATTTTTGCTCGGGGAGTGTGTCCAACGATACATTTGGGCATTACGGCCTGGCGAGTCCTATCTACACACATTTCACGAGTCCCATTCGGCGATACGCTGGTACGAGTTCGGAAACAACGCATGTCGCGTGTTCGTCAGGCTCACGATCTTTGTGTGCAGATGTTTTGGCCCACCGGCAATTGTCCGCTGCGATATCATATACACCGCTTCATGCTACCCTTCATTCCCAGTCGTATGTAGAGAAGGTGTTGGATGTAGTGAACCGACGGCATCGAATGGCTCAAATGGCTGGCCGGGCAAGCGTGGAATTCTATGTCGGACTTGCCGTCAAAGCACGCGGGCAACGAAATGGAGCTGCTCTAGATGTGATCGAAGACGCATTCGTCATTCGTGCTTTTCGCAATGGTCTCGCGGTCTTTGTCTCTACGTGAGTTGACACTTGAGACGGATTGCCCCACACTGACTGTTCTGCTTCCCGTAGATTGGGTCTCGAGGGCCTAGTGACATTCAAGAAGGAAATAAAGTTCGACGCTGAGGCGTATAGTGTCACGATCCAAG